TGTTGCTGCTGTTTTGTTTTGCAGTTCTGTAAAAAGTCTATTCAGTGACAGCAAACGAGAAATACTATTTCTAGGCAGTCGAAACAAGGTATTTACTGCAAAAAAGTCACTACCTTGCATCATAGGAATTCCATTCTTAAGATTCTGTCGCTCATTTACACACAGTTTTGCTCGCCGCGATTCAAAAATTTCCTTTCATACCCATGGCATGCAGCCGGATACATTGATAACCACCCCGGCGAATTCGAGTCTCCTATTCAGTACTGTTTTTCACCGACTTTGATAGGCAATTGTGAAGCTGCTGATTGTCATCGTTTATATTTTATACGATGCGCGCTGCGAGAAGCTCTTCTGCTTTGAGCATTTTGTGGTTGTATTCCATACATGTTAGTATATCATTTGAATCCATTGTTGTGACATCTTAACCTCCAACCTCCACCTTGTCAGCTACCCCCCCCCCCCTTGAAGGGTGAGGGGGATCTTTCAAGCCAAGAGGCAAAATGCCCTACAACCAATAGAGCATTCAAAACGAGACCATGAGAATCGAGGTGGACTTCAACTTCTTTCTAAGATTCTGAAGATTGCTATTACTAGGAACTTACTATTGGCTTGCTTCACACCGATACTATTTCAGTGTTCTGGGTTTTGTAGATGAAAAGAGCAATCTTTTTTAAAACCCGTGAAACAGATTCACAAACTATGAAATATTCGAAAGCTGGGATCATGGAAATCCACGTAGACCTTCGGCTTTTTTCTATCTCTCCTTAGCAGTAAGATATGAGAGGTTGATGTAAAATATATAAACTGTAGACTTTGCCGATAAAAAATGCATTTTATTCTCTTTCATTCAGTACAAAGAGCCTTCAACGAGGAACCTTCAACGCATTTTTTTGCTATCTATAGTAACTACTGCAAATCACTGTTTTTTTTTTTGCAATCCTTAGCAATTTTTGCTTTCTTGCACAGGCGGAGCTTCGAGGCCTAATCAAGGCTAGAGAACGATGAGAGAGCACGCTCGCAAGAGAGACGCAGACTGCGCCGCGGGCGCGAGCGGTCGTCTTCCACGCCAATCCGTTGAATCAAAGGATACATAGGCTCACATCAACTGATTTTTTGTGACGCTTCTTGCCTCTCTTACAGGCAAAGGTGTCTTCTGTACACCTATTTCAAGACTGCAAAAAGCCTCAAAAAAACTCTGTGCCTTGAATGTTCAAAAAAAATTTCAAAAGAAAACATGGAAGGAAGCGGAACAACCAGCGAGCCACTTAAGTAAAAAATTCAGATGACTTTAGGCTTTCATATTCTCTTGAAAATGTTTACTTTTTTGAGTTATTTTTATCACTATTTTGATTACTACACTACAGTATTGAAGAAGCCTTCGAAATAATGCGAAAAAAAGGTTCATCAATGACAATGCCTTAGCTGCTACGCTATCTATGTATACTGGGATGACCGAGCACTTGCCATCATGAAATGGCAACTTGCAAATGAGAGGAATCAAACAATGTTTCCTCTAGGCAGACACAGCTACAAACCGTATGTTGGAGGGTTTGATACCATATTCAAAAACTTAACAACCGAAAAAAACTTGAAAAGAAGCCACAGTCGAGTATTTTCCGGCTGAGAGAACTTACCTACCAAAAAAACTTGCCGCAAGGTACTTTTAGGTATCATAAGTTGTCAGCAACTCTAACTAGCACCGTACGCAGAGCTGATCCGTGCATAAAGTGAACTCCGCTTTTATCTAGCAATGCAAGAAGTTTTATTCAAAATAGCATGATTCAGCTAATTCTCGTAATCGAAGCAGATTTTCTTTGTTTCTTCTTTTTTTCCGAATTCACGAGTTGTTGAAAGTGAAAAGTTGTTGTAAGAAAAGCCGCATGAAAGATTCACAAATTTAACTGTTGAACAGAGTGCTAACATATGCGGAAACAACATCTTTATAAAGCCTTTGTTATCTTTCTTCTTGATCGGGCACATTTCGATAATGAAGTTCCAGTTCGAAGTATACATCTAAATTTCGAGTTCTTGCATTGCTGGATGAGAACGGGGCTTACTGTGTGTAGGAAACAGTTCGAATTTAGCGTTGCCGACATTTCATAACTCCTATGGTTATGCTGCGGCAAGTTCTTCGGTTAAGTAAGTTTCGCTCCCTAGATTCTCCGCTTAATATTGTGTGCTTGCACTGCAGGGAAAATATACGCCTGTAGCCCGGCCAATTGCGCGCGCAAAATGCCGCCATCACTGGCGTTGCTATTGCTCACGCGCGAACTTTACCGCATCTCACCTCCAGTGCAAGCACACAATATTGAACGGACCTACTGGACTCTGAGCATGAATTTCGCCGGGTTTTTGCAAGAATCAACCATGAACAGTAAGAGGGATTTTTATCAATTATCTCTGACTTTCTCCCGTGCACATCCTTATGCAAACCATAGATCATATACGATGCGCATCTATAATCCGTTGCACCGGCAAGACCGCTATTTCGGTCTGAAATCTTGCATTGCTGTGTGTCATATTGGTATGTTCACTTCTGGAATTATCATTTTCGTGGTAGGAAAGTTGGGCGAAGGTCGAGAACAGGCAGTATTGAAGACAGTGGTTTCGTTTCTCAGATAACGCATTGGAACATTTTGAGGCTTGAGGAAAAGACAAACGGGTCGAAACATTGGACTTTGATCGGAAAGACTAAAGGACACAACAACTTTTAGGGTACACAAGCATTTGAAGTGATCTACATACTTTGTTACGAAAGAACTAATGTATGTAGTAGGATGTATAGCATACAGTCTTGCTCAAGAAAGAAAAAAAGCACTTATCCTCTGAGTACTGCTCTCCGACCACACGGTAATTGCATCTGAAGTGAGTGGGGTGTTTCTTTAGGTAAATTATCAAAATAGGTGTTTGCTTGTACTATGTGATGCGCAGTTCAACCTATATTTACTTTTCCTCCAACTTTAGAGTATTACGACTTTGAAAGTTTAAAGCACCGAAATATCTGCCTATTAGTTGTGAAGGATAGATACGATAAACTTCTTACGCTCGACTGTTGTGATAACGCACTTTACTGCTTTTGGTCTCGGCAACGCGCTGCCGTCAGAAGTTGAGAGGCTCATCGATGCGACAGTGTGCGACTGCTTGGGACCGGGTGTGGTGCGAAAGGCGACAACCCCAAATTTTGCGTCCCAAAACTTCTCCGTGTTAGTGGCACGGGCCAGTCTAGGGATTGGGGAGTGGGGCAGATACATGACTCGATGCCATATATATAATTCGTCAAAAGCTAGAGAGAAAGGTTTTACATTGCATGCAATTTGCGGGGATTGTCGCCTTCCGCGTGCCCTCCCCCCTTGGGACCTGCTTGATCGACTTAATTCATCTCGCGGTCTCAAGCACATGTCAATCGTCACTTTCACCACATTTGTAACATCTTCACCTTCGATTGGCGCCTTTCCAAAACGTGTGTTACTAAAATAGCCTCTGTGGTAACACAATTCACTGTATCTATGAAATTAGAGATTTGCAGAGTTTAAAATAAGAAACTTAGGAGATTTCTTTGCAAATTGAGTGACTGTCCGTGAAATATACAGCTTTTTTTTCTACTAAAATTGAAAAATCACGTTAGATACTCATGAGAAAGCAGAACTTGATACCACCATGCGTCAAAGGCAAATGGATTCTTAGTATGTATCTAAGAACCCGGAGTGGTAATAATTTGGTCAAAACCGTCATGAAATGTGTTGCTGTTCAATAATGTTGCGTAGTGGGAACAACGGTCATTTTCTGCAGACTACCCCGTCATTCAATTCTGCAAAATCATGAAAAAGCAAGTAAACAAAGACTACCATGAGATTGCTCCACGATCGCTTTATTTTGAACCAAATCGACAAGTATCCACTATGTTGAAATTATTGTTTTGTTGTCAGAGTAATGAAAATAGCACTATGTTTTATGAGAGACAGACGTAAAACCATTAGACCGTTGTTTAAAGTTAGTTTTTCACCTCAAATTACGATATGACCATTCCACAAATTAGCAGGAGTGAGGGAGATCATTCTAAAAGTCATTATAAGGAAGCTCACTCAAACTCTTTAGATAAGGTTCAAAAAAAGCAAAATGCAAGGCTAGAGAATGAACGGCAAATTAACCGCTAATGAAGGCGGTCAAGCATGAAACGACTGGAAGTTTGATTTTTTCCAATGAAATCGCAACTTAGAATCAAGTGAAATTTTACAGGTCGTGGATTTCAATTAGCTACCGCTTGGTTTCGATATAAAGCTGCTGATCTCGTGTTGTGAAAAGATAGCTAGGATTATCGTTTCAACCAAATTGTTAGTACCGCTGGCCTTAAGATGTAAAGCTGCTGATTTCGTGTTGTGGAAAGATAGCTAGGATTATGGCTTCAACCAAATTGTTACTACCCATGGCTTTGAGATTCATATTTGAAATCACATGTGAGCACCAAAGCATCAACGTGAAGTATTCTATAAAGCATTCGAAAAATTGTGACGATGGCGCGATCGAACGCGACACGCACGCGCTTTCGGCAACCACATTTTCTTAGTCTTCATCTGTACTTAAATGGTTTTTCTGTTTATACAGTATTCAGACACTGGAAGTGACTGAATTGAGCGTTGAGGCGATGTTTTTTTGTATGAGAGTTCTATGCTCTCGTGGAAGTTTTATGCTCTTGTGGCTCAAAGACCGCAGACAAATCCGTCGTAACGATTTTCAAATGACCTATATTTCAAACCTCACAGTCTTTGAACTATGGCATCTGAGATATAGTATCAAATCGATACGTACCTCCCCCAACAAACGCAAAAATTTGAAATTGTGAACTACAAAAACAACTGAAGTTATAAACACTCCTTCACATTACAGGTCAAAAGGCTTGACTAAGCCCTTATATGATTTAATGTTTGCAATCACAGACAAATGAGCACATCAAGATATCATATCAAGCAATCCATTAGCGCAAGAACAACCTAAAGTCTTACCGTATACTTAGGTGGCATATAAATGAATGGGGCAATGAGTTGACACTTGCTTTTGCTGGAGCAATAACGACGCAGAGTCTGGAAAGCACGAACAGCCATATCACTGCCAAGTCGAGCACCATAGCTGCATTGATACGCTGTATAGGCTGTATTACCTAATATCCTGTGTAAAAAACCTACTTTTGTATGGCAGTATTCAGCTCCGCATCAATGCGCAAAATCTCATAATCTAGGATACTCTTTATTCGAGCGGCATTTAATATAAAGATTATACAATAAAGAAGGTACAGAGGACAGCTGGACTCCTCATTCATTTTAAACATCTGCGAAAGGACGCCGAACTGAAATAACATCTTCGCAACGGAAATCGTTCGGCAAAACTTGTAGTATGCGGAGTACATTTGATGACTGGAGCGCGACGAGGCTAGGCTGCTCCATATGAGTCACGCGCGCATGCTAACTATGGTGGGAGTGGTGTCAGCAGATCTGTATTATTTTTATGCTGGTATTTCATGTGATTCCAAAGAAAAAAAAAAAGGAATTGGTAAGGAAGCAGAGCTGATTCTTCATAATCTAGCGAGGTATGACCTGAGCAGCACATTTGAGCAAAAGTGTTCATAAACACCTTTCTTGATTGAAATGATAAGAATGACTGAACATTGTTGATCCTTTCTCGGAATTTCTGAGTATTATTCGCGTACTTCACCGGGGAGGATTTCAGGAAAACAAACCACGAAAGGTATCAACTTTTCCATGACACGTGTCGGGTAAGTAGTCCTCATGAAATCTATCAAAAATATCGTTTTACAAGAAGCATTGAAAAGTTTCCAAGAGAACGTTGTGGACAACGAAGAAGTACCCCTCTCCTCTCCCCCTTTTTTGAGGCAAATCCTCGTATCCTCTTAGGATAACTTACAGCGTAGTTCCGAAATAGTGGAACTAGAATAGTGTATGGTGATAATCTTGATCATATTACAGCGAATGCGATCAAATAAATGTTGTGTAGTGACATCGCAGTTATATAAACATTCCTACAAAGCTAGGTTTCCTTTTTTCTGGGATTATGGGGATTACGAAAATGTTGTGATAATGATCAATTGTTCTTCATATGATCTGCAATTACTTCCGATGCAACCTCATTGTGTGCGAGAAATCAGCGCTATAAAAGCGCTCACTCTTAGCCAATGTCAGTTTGTCAATTTATTGATGACTGATGGCCTGTCACTTCTTTTGAAAAAGAATCGGAAGAAGACGTTGTAAGAGCTGTCAGAGAACGATGTGAGCAGCATAATGAAGAGCTGCATAAGAAAACTATCGGTAACGGTGTCTGAGATTCAAACCGGCACAATGAGGGATCCGACACCGGAGAAGTACTGGCTTATGTGCAAAGAAGAAAACGGCACGAAGTGGATGGAGAATTGTTGAAGCATGGCCATCCGCGATTGAAGCGTCGCAGCGGTACACATAGATTTTTCTAAACCTATGCATGGAGTCTTTTACTTGCCAGTAGTGGATTCAAACGATGGCTCGGAATAATCGAAATAAGCATTATTTCGGCCGCAAGAGCAGTGAAAGCGTTGAAGGGCCTATTTGCGAGATTTGGACTATCACAAACAATAGTGAGCGACAAAGGTACCTAGTTTACATCGGATTTTTAAGAATTACATATGTGCGACAAAGTTGGACTCCCCCATGTAAGAGTGCTCCGTGTCAACCTTAATAAGATAGACACGCAGAGCGTTTTGCTGATGCGCTGAGACGCGAAATCAAGAAACTGAAGGAAGAGAAGAGTCCGAAAGAAGAGACTATGAACGTGATCTTGCAAGCGCTTAGGACAACACCAAAGGCGAACTTGAACGACAAGACGTCAGCGGAGAGGTTTTTAGGCCAAAGCTTGTGTTCAAGATTGAGTCGTCAGAAGAGGCACAAAATTTATTTGCCAAAAAAGACGAAAGCGCATGAAGCATTCATGCGATAAGAGTCATATAGTTCTCCGAAAATAATCCAAAGTTGTTGATTTGGTACACTCCGCGCAGAAGCCATCGTACTTCCAGTCCCTTCCAGGGACCGTGATGAGACTTATGCACGTGTCATTTACGAAGTCACGGTTGGCCATCATTCAGGAAGCATGCCAAATGGCAATGTAGGCTGGCGAGAATTCAAGCGATATAAAACGTTGTGCCATCGCTAGTGGATTCAACGACATCGACATCGAACCACGAGCCCTCCACTCAACCCTCAACCCTCAGTTGTTTATAAGGTTTATGCTTTTTTGTAAGCTAGTTTTGTTTGTGACTACCCTACTGGGAAGGTGCTGTGGATGAAAATGATCAGTTGTCCTTCATATGATCTGCAAACGCTCAATCGATGCATAACATACTGCTGGCAGCTCGCTCGGGCAAATGTATCGCCGACCGATCGCACGGTAACATTGCCTGCAGCTTAGATGGCACTTCAATTTTTTGCCTTATTTTAGGTTTTGTGCCGATCGTTTGTACACCGGTGCCTGTAGGAGGTTCGCTCGCACGGCACGAATCCATGAGGAGGCGATTTGAAGAAAGAAGTAGTGTGAAAGACAGCACTAATTTGGTCAAAAGACGCTCCAATAAAATCTCAGCAAACGTCAATCAAGATAAAATCTGCGAACAGTCAAGGTGTAATAGTTTTTTGATTCCATGGAATAAAATGCAATCAGTCACGAGTTGAGAGACCCGTACGATATGTCATCAAAATCACCCATGCAAGAGACTCTCAAAGCACCAATGTCATCGTATATATACGCGTTGAAGTGGGTTTGCTGCTAATATGTACCAAAGATGCGTATCGTTGCACTGCGTATTGTTTATTTCTTTCTAAGCAATAAACAATTTTAAGAAAGCATGTTACAGTATGAAAGCACATTGTGGCTAAAGGCTACTGCATGACGAAGGCGCATAAATTGAATAAGTGGGCGCGAACTCGTCGCGCGCGTATCTTCGCCGTTGCAATAATAAAGCTGCGCTCGCTTTCAAAGATATTGTGCCTTCGTCATGCAGTAGCCTGTACATATTTGAGAACTAACAAAATTTTTAATCTGTCATGCCGACAGCGGGTGAATTAACAATACAAAATATAAACCGAGTCATAGTGCCCTGAGAGTGTTAAATGCAAACATCACAACGTACTAGAAATAAGCAGACCGGATACCACCGTACGCTGCGCTTTCGTACTTGCTTGCATCACTCCGCTACCGGTCTCACATTTGAATGAATCCAAACTTGATTTAGATTTTTTTCGAATTGCTTAGCTTGGGCAGCTTCATCACCATCTTGACATTACCTATGACAGAGTCCGTCGTCTGTTCCGGTACACATCAACAAATGTATATTTCCTACTTTTCACCGAAGAACTATATGGCGTTGCCTAGAAGAGTACTGGTTTAGTTTGCTTTTACATATGGCTTGTGTTGTTTTTTTGAATGCAGTAAGCCCAATTCTTTCTACTTTTTTTGGTTGCTCACGGGTGAAAAAGGAAAAAAAGGCGATCTTCGTATTTACTTAATTCAAAATAATTCAAACATTGTAAATTTAGCCTTGTTTAATGGTGTAAGAACTGAATCGCCTTTTTCCATCATAGCCGAGAATTTATTTTTCTACACAAATTTGAGAAAAAGATGAAAGGAGATGGAGGGAGAAGTATAGGATCATGTTGTTGTTTATAGGATTATGATATTGTTAGATGTGGCGTACAAGAAAAAGTTGACAGAATTTATGGTCATGAGGCCCCAAAAAATTGTGAGCTTTCGACCAACGCTTTTAGAGAGTGCATCTAAAGCAAGTCCTTTCATTTGGTGGAGCAAAATTCTGGTACCGTCATTGTGCTACATCTATCCAAATAGACTGAAATTCATTTTCATACTTTCGGCCAACCTTTCGGTATTATCACCTTTGTCAGAGCCCAGAAAGTTAAATACAAAGAGATTTTTTATTGTGACGTCAAGATTAAGAAGAAGAAAACTCAAATGGGGAACTAGAACAAGACAGAATCAAAGCCACTGATAACCTTTAGTCAAAGCATAGAATTTACAGAGAACTATGCAGAACCATACGAGATGACATAAATTCTCTTAGGACCAGCAAAAGGACTGATACGACGCAACATGGTGCATTTCTGGATTTTAAATCGGATCCGAAACGACTGCAATCATTGAGCAGTACAGAGGTAAACTTAGAAAAAGAATATTATGTCATAAGCAAGATGTATGAGTAAATTGTCATGCGCTCGAACACTATCTTGCACAACTGCGTTGATGATATGTACAACTATAATAAACGGTTTATTACCCATATGACAGACATTTTCGAGATCGATTGCTACATTAAAACATTGAAAAATGCTTCAAATCCTTAGAATTCCCACTTCGGCAGTGGATAGTTAAAGAGCACGTAGTCCCAAAAGAATACCTGAAGTATGGAATGCATTCGCTAAATACAGGTTACAATATACAAGCATATAAGTTCATGCAAATCTACCTTTGTTAGCAACTCCTTCACCTCTGGGTCTTCCATTTGCTTCATATAAACGCTTTTCTCTGCAAGATGAGTTGTAGCATGACAAGTCGTGCCGTTCGATACTTGGGAAAGTATTAACTCAATGTGCCACGGCTCCACTCCTCCTACTAAAGTTTATCATGTAAGATGAATTGATAACTTGCTAGCTGCGCACCCGTAAGTACATATCGCAGGTCAGCAGCCACTTTATCTGGATCATTTGGTGAATATTGAATAAGCTCGAATTTGTCGATATTATGTTGTAAGTCGCAGTGCCTGCAAGAAAAGGAAGTTTTCTGTGGCCCAGCATGGTAATTAGGGAAGGTCTAATGCGCATGTCGCCAATCACACATACTCTGTAATACATAACGACATACCAATTTTGGGGACCAAGGTGCCAAAGAAGATTAGAGTCGGCTGATAGGTCTCCACTTGCAAATTTCTGAGAATGCTCAAGTGTTCGTCGAAGCGCACACTTTAAATCACCGATGCAACCCTCACAAGTTTCATTAACCATCTTCGCTCTGAATATAATCGCATCGTTACTTCTGGTAGAGAATATAAGTACAAAAAGATCCAAGTCCTCTCTTCTCTGAATTTGGGCATTGGTGTTCAACTTGAATGTGTAGTTTTGCCGAGCCCAGTTTTTTTACGGTGAATCTTTCATTGCCTTACGTTTCGATACGTTTCACCTTCTACGGAGACCTGAAAGACTCACCAATCCCAAGAACATGTTGCTCCAAATGATTGTGTAAGTGCAAGAATCACGGTTATCGGTAGCATTCAACTAACGCCGCAAGCTGCTAACTTTCTCAGTTTTGGGCCATCGTTCTCGCCTTCGCAAAATATCAGTGCTTCCAATTGTCGCAAGGTAGTCGGCAGCTTGCATAGACTGCGAGATATGCTGAGGTTCAAAGTTGCACAAGAAGGTCCCCTTTTGCTACCAACGGGCAACCCTTAGCTAGTGTCAATACCATTTCCTCGTTCTTACTACAAAGAAACAAAACCAGTGCTTTCTGTTGATTCTAAATTCCGTGTGCTTTTGACTGAAATTGCTAAAGTTTTGAATGATTCCATATGCGTATGCCGGACTAACCTGACGCAAGAAGAATCGCAAGGCTTATAAGATGTGCGCAGTTTGCCTCAAAAAACCATCCGCGTCTCAGTTAGTGACAAAGATGGCGAGTTTGTAATAGTGCCGCAGTCCTTAGACCGAGTAATTGCAGAATTGCAACTCTCAGACGCGACAGTTTACAAGCAGACTACGAAAGAGACTTCCAGATGCAGTGTAAAAAGATGGAAGAAGTCTGGGTTGATGTAGCAAAAGCTGTAGGGCTTGATAAGAAGTTGATCGACAGACTGAAATTGGACAACCCAAACTGTCCAGTTTTCTATCATCTGGTCAAGACTCGCAAGTTATCATCGTTCGAGCACCACTCTATGTCACCAGCTGCCTATAATTCGCCCCTTGATAATCTGTGTTGGCGGACTCACTGATAGAATATCATGGTTTCTCAACAAGATCATAAGCCATCTGTTATCAAAGGTGCCATCGCATTTGTCCAACACTCGTCATTTCATAAAGCAGTTGCGAGATCCGAATATTGAACATATTAGCGTCATCGAGTCTTTTGACGTAACATCTTTGTACACTAATGTTCAAAACGATGCCGCACAAGCACTCTCCGAGATGCTGGACGTCTACTACAACAATATGGTCACTTTTGGACTGAGCAAAGCGTGCATGCTGACCCTCATTTAGGAATGTTTAAAGTGTATCATCTTCAAATGGTCTGGGAGTTACTACGCCCAGATCAGAGGACTAGCTATGGGTCAACGACTTGCACCAGCCCTCGCGATTTGTTTCATGAGTAAGATAGAGAAGCCAGTACTAGCACGCTTCCCCATAAGGTACTGTCGCTACATCGAACACTGCTGCGCAATAACATCAACACAGTCCGAAATGGACGAGTGTTTCGAGCTCTTAGGGTTCCTTCATACTTCGTCGCAGGACGCGGCGTGCGCGGCGTACGCCGCAGGAATCGCTTTGAAAATATAGCTTCACTGCAACGCCTTTTCGCTGGTTATGTATATGTGTATCTCTATATCTCCTGCACGTTCACGTTCATATATACATAACCAGCGAAAAGGCGTTCTAGAAAACGTATATAACGTATAACGTAACGTATAAACGTATATCTTCAGAGCGATTCCTGCGGCGTGCGCCGCGTACGCCGCGTCCTGCAGTGTAGTATGAAGGAACTCTTAAATCAGCAATCACAGTACATTCGCTTCACCAGAGAGACCTTGAACGATGAGTGGCTTCCCTTACTGAACACACAGATACACCTGTCTCGTGGTACGTTTCGAATGAAGTGGTACAGGAAAGGAACGCGAAAAATATCCTAATACACGCCAAGTCGACGCATCCTACAGCAATGAAGTGCGCGGTTCATCGAACACGTATCGAATGGCTGTATAGAAGTAAGCAGTGGCGAGAAAGAACGTCTTGAATCGAAACAGCTAACAGCGGGAATTGCGCGTAGTAACGGCTACACATATGTAAGGACTCGAAAACGACCACGATGTACGATCCGTAGCCAAACTATACACGACGACAAAAATAAAATCCCTCTTTGCGTACCTTTCATCTCCGACAAAGTAAGTGCGGCTTAGACAGTGCATTGTCCGAGCACAACTGCAGAATGATGTTATGCTGGTGAATGTCCCGAATGGTAGTATCAGGAAGCAGTTAGTGCGAAACAGGTTATACGACGTAGAATGCAAATCAGAACAATGTATTGTTTGCCCACATGGAAAAGTAAGAGACTGCGCGAAATGGGGAGTTGTATTCAATCAGAATGTTTGAGCTGTAAAGCTTTATATATGGGCGAGACAGACAGAGCGTTGAGCATCAGAGTCAGAGAGCATCTAGGCGACAAAAGCGTTAGAGAAGCACAAGTTCGAAGCACACAATGGCGCAGAATTTGATGTAAAGTGCACAATCTTAGCACACGTGACTGGAATTTAAACCTTGGAAGCCTTGTGAAATTCCATCAAGTGCCTAAGCATCAAGAACAAGAATGAATGCCTAACGATAACTGATGATCTTTTGCCCTTCCTGTCGTTATGCAAGAAGTAGCCTTACCCATATATAGACGTGACACACGATGACACTCAGTGCCGTCCATCTACAACTTCAGTGTGCGGCTACCGTCCAGTACTTCGGTGCGGACTGCTAACATCAATATCGCGGTGAATCGAGGATTGGCTTCTTTTCGACGTGCATCTCAGTACGTTGTGCATGGAACAACGTTTGGACTCGATGAGTAGTCTCACAGATCAAAACTGCAGTCTTCTTTCAGGTCCCCGAAGAAGACGAAACGTGTCGAAACGTAAAGCAGTAAAAGATTCACCGCAAAAATCTGGGCTCGGCAAAACACTCTACACATATAAAAAGACTTGTTAGTGACTTACGAACTGCACATATACATAAATCCGCTGAGAAAGCGCTCTGCTGGATCGCGAACCATGGCAAAGTTCATCCAAGGATAGCCATGAGCAAGTTTCTCAACTTGAGAGTACCTATGCAGTCCATTGCGAGGAGAGCAGCTTCTGAAATATGAGCTGAAGTAAACCAGTGAGATTTCTTTTCTCCTTTCAAGCGTAGATTCACTTCAAGGCGCCAATTTTAGGTGAATTACATAAGCAGAAAGATAAACTACCTTGGACAATTCTTCTATGCCGTACAAGAAAATAGGACTTATAGATAAACTACCTTTCCACGAATGAAGTCACTGTTTTATCCGTACGCCCCATTTCACCCGTAAACAGTAAGCAGAATATTGCCGAGATAACCGTGGACATATTCTTTGGTATGATGCAAGACGAGATGCGCCTTGGCCAGCCTGCTATCTATAAAAATCACGTGAAGGCGTATCTCTTTAGAATTTCGTTTTCCAGTTTTTCACCTTTTCGGGGCCTTTTTGCCGTGAGAAATCCATATTTGGGCTTTTCGGCGCATGAAAATGGCGAAAAAAGAGTTTTTTGAAGCTTTCCAGGTCCACATTCAGTACAGATACGCCGAAAGTCGCCGGAAGTCTTTCACGCCCCGCTTCCCTCGCTTCGGGCTCCGCCCACTTACACGTATTCTCTACTGAATGCGGACCTGAAAGCTTCGGCTAAAGCTCATTTTCGCCAATTTTATGGGCTGAAAAGCCCAGATATGGATTGCTTACGGCGAAAAGGCTCCGAAAAGGTTAAGAATTGGAAAACGATAAAGGCAGCGTCCCACTAGACTGAGGGGTACCTGGCTTTGGTAGTAAAATAGTGGACCCCCTAATTAAGTGAGGGACAAATCGGACCTCAAGTAGCCCGGATCTTACGGTAAGCTCGGACGAGTACGAGATGCATGCAAGGTAGAGACGCAGAGTCGTTGGGGGACCCTGCGCTCGTGACTGTGTGCGCTATGCGTGCTTTGGCCTTGCAGTTCGAAATCGCTGGTGGGCGGCGTCCGGCCCTACAGTAAGATCCGGCCCACTTTCGAAGCAAATTTCAGGCTTGTTAGACCCCCTTTTTCGCTTCGAACTTCAGTCATCGTTTCGATAGGGGATCTACTTTAACACAGGCACAAAAACCCGGCACCTACTTTTTGCCGGGACGCTGCCTCTAAGGTGCAACGGTGACTCCAAAAAATACGTGATAGTCACAGATGGAGTTACGCACCATTGAAAGGTTGAACGCATTATTTCTGTCTTCGGAAGCCTCGAGGGATATTGCATTATACTGAGTTTAAGATCTCACCGTATATTCGGGATAGTAAACTTTGAATGGAGCCATGAGTTCACAGTTGCTGTTGCTGGAGCAGAAACGGCGCAGAATAGAGTTAGCACGATGAGCCATTTCACCGCCAAGTCGTGTGCCATATCTGAAGAATTTTGAATTTTTTAGCGCAGGAGTCTACTGCCATAAATTGGATGCCTACATGTATCTCTGAAAAATCGGACCAATTTCTGATACAAAAACGCGTGAAAATATGCCATCAGTAACGGAGATTCTTCATCAAGCTTTTCAAGATAATCACAATTTGCTGTGCATGATGCTTCGCTTTGTGTCTTTACGACAGAATTACTAATGAATGACATGAAAAAATTTTAGAAGCATAAGCTAGTTAATTTCACGACTTATGCTTCTTTAAAGTCGATAGCTGAACATTTCTCATTCCTTCTGAATACGTACTTCCACTCTTCTTGCTTGTCTTTTCGTTATGTTTCAGAAAACATAACGAAAAGACAAGCAAGAAGAGTGGAAGTTTTTTTTTCTCTGATACTATAGATTTTATCTTTTGATCTTCAACAAATCTTTCTTCGAATGCTTTAGATCAACCGGATTTCAAGGCAGTAATTGTAGCAGCAGTGTCAACTGCCTATACATCTCGCCTACTTATAGGTATCCCAAAAGTCTTTCTCACTTAAATGCCTTTCTTCGCCCTCTATATAATGTTCTATATGGCTAACTTCAACTTAGGTCTGCAACATGAAGCGAATCGCGATCGCTTTCATAACTGCAGACGGTAGGAATTTCCAGTATACAGCGCCATTTTCTGCTAGAACTTGGGAAATTTTTTAAAAAATCTGGAAAATTGTATAGGAACAGTTCCACGGCTGCTAATTTCACCGCGAAACCCTTTATGAGTTTTTTGAGCTTCTTCGGAGCACTGAAAAGTGATACTGGTAATAGAGATATTAGCTAAGCACATAAGTTTGCAACTTTCCCCACAACTTTTATCTTATTTTATGTGGCAATCCCATTTTCTTCCATTATGTAGATGATGTAAGCTGCAAGCCTGCGCCAAACCGTTTAATTTTTTATAATATAGTAGAAAAATTTAATCATTTTTCGAAAGCTCGCTTTTTGGCAAACATGAAGCCGTACACAATCTGAATCGAACATATTCAGAAGCAACTATGAACAGCAAGTAGCTAGAAGTTGAACATTCAAAATCACTGAGAAAGAAATGAAACCTAGGGAGAAATCAAGATAGGGCGTCTTCAAAAGTTAAACAAGTAAATGCGTCAAATTTCGAGGGCTGCTTGTCAATTACCAAACCGTGTAAGTCAGAATTCGCTAAAACTCTGCACAATTGGGTAATCCTATGTGGTAAACTCGAATATCATACTCATTTGACGCTAAAATTGAATTTCAATCCTTGACTTTACGAAGGAGGCCCGAAAAATTTTTTGGGGTGCTTTCCATATTTTTTGCGTGCCCAAGTCCCAAAAATATTAGAAAAAGGGAGCGTAGCGGGAGCCAGCCCGAGAGAAATTTTTTTACAAGGCTATTTCAGGGCTCGGCACAGGTGGCTTACAAGCAAGCTGAATATCGTTTTTGGGACAAAAAGCAAAGGAGGTTTCGCTCTTGTAGCCGAAAAGACACAAAATTTGCGACGTTTTTTCTAGTCGACATTTCGTTATTTGGAGGTTGGTAAATATTAGATCGTTTCATAAGTTCGTCGACTTTTTATTTTTGTCGCCGTTTTTCGATGAAGCGGTTGGTTTACGGCAAAGTACCTATACCATTGAGAAGAGAAAATCTTGCTCTACAAGAACTGTTGTTTGTTTTTGGAGCAAACTTGAATCCCCTTCTTTTACGACTTATCAGAGCAAAATTTTTTGAGAGGCAAAAATTTGCGATTGCGGCAACTGCAACTTTCGACCCGTATACGGAGCCACAAGTGAGAATTTTTCGTCTGAAGTTGTTATGAGTGATGAGAAACAACTGTTTGTGGTACTACGGTGAATATAAAAGTAGTCTCCATATTCAAAGAGAGGCTATAAAGAAAGACTAAGCGCACGTTTACCATGTGTGTAGATGTTTTGCGTTTGTCATAATTTTAAGAAGTTCCCACGTCAAAAAATTTTTTGAGAAAGCGTAAAATGTTGGTCAGAGCTTGTACTCATACATCTACACCACTTGGAAGAACGCATCCATTCCTCAAGTTCCGATAGGAGGACCGATACATTGTGTCGCTGAACAACGCGCCAAACTCAAGCGGCAGCAGTCAATGACAACAACCATTGGGACCTTGTTCAAACGGTTCTATGCATATTAGCATGCTGCACATTTGTCAGTGTTTCAGTCTTGCTTGCTACTATCCATCCCGCCTACCTATGACAGAAACATCTTGCGGAATACGGACCAAATGCGGAAAGTGCAGTTGCCGCAATCGCCAATTTTTGCCTCTCGAAAAATTTTGCTTTGATAAGTCGTAAAAGAAGGGGATTCAAGTTTGCTCCAAAAACGAGCAACAGTTCTTGTAGAGCAAGATTTTCTCTTTTTATTGGTATAGGTACTTTGCCGTAAACCAACCGCTTCATCGAAAAACGGCGACAAAAATAAAAAGTCGACGAACTTTTGAAACGGCCTAATACTTACTGAGACCAAAGACTAAGATGCCCGCTAAAGTATCACTGAGTTTACACTATACAATTGCAGAAAAAATGAGGAGACTTGTTAGTGCTAATGCAAAAACTTAATTTTCTCAAGAAATTAGAGTCTGCATGCTAGAATTCCACACATGTTTGCTTAGGTCGAAAACCTACTTTTGTAAGGCACTGTGCAGCTCCTCTTCGTTTCGCAAAAACTCGTAGTTTAAAACTTCCTTGATTCGAGCAGCAGTAAGAATAAATAGAAGGCAGTAGAGTGAGTAGAGAGAGAAGTTGGATTCCTTACCCATTCTGGTCTGCGAAAGGAAGCTGAATGAAATCCCTTTTGCAACGCAGCATGTTCGGTAAAGAAGTTATCGGGATCGGAAGATAAGAGACGGTGAGAAGCATTATGCTAGTGAAAATATACGCTAACAAGCTATCCCGAACAAATCTTGGCGCGATGGGATCAGCGAAGCAGTCCGGTGAACATCCTCCTCGGTGGGCCAAGCGAATATTGTATACAAGCTCAAAAACATTATGTGGGTGCAAAAGTTCGTTCGCATTATTCAAAAAATTGTAACTCTCTGTTATCTGCTTGTATTTGCCTGGGATAAACTTTTTTAGAATAAAGAGATCATAAAGTTTCTGAGTATAGCTTGCTTAAATGTTTTCGAGCACAAGTCGCAGAGTCAAAAATGCAAAAGGAAGATCACTCAAATTTTGGTAATTTCAAGAAAGCTTACCAAAAATTGAAAACGTTGCAAAAAATACCGAATCAAACATAAACATACGTTTATGTCTCCCTTCTAGCTAGGCAAAGTTACTGCTAGAGAATGTTCGTGTGAAAAAATACGATTTTTCAAGGAAAAGCTTTGCATTGCATCAACCTGCTCTCGATCGGCTCGAATTCCACTTAGCTAAAAAAGGGAGTTAGAAACTTATGTTTATGACTGCCTCGGCTTCGGCTGTAACGTTTTCAGATTTTTTGAGCAGGCTCAAAAATTGCAAAATTGAAGTAATTCTCTTTACTTGCCTCTAACTTTCGAACTAATTCATATTAACATCGATGGGAAAGGTGCCACTGTATGTGCAAAAATTTTTCTTCATAACAAACTTGCTTCCAGGATTTTTCGTGACCCTGCTTGAAAAATGCGAATGTTGAGTAATTTCCTTCAATTGTTTCTCACTTTCAAATAATCTCCTATTAATTCATGGCAGAGTACTGCGTAAAGTGCATGGTTTCTTCTTTCAAGAAATATAATTTTTAGAAGAAAATGAAACGAAAGTGTGCTAAAAAATGGGCTGAAATTTAAACACTAGTGGTAAGATTATTTAATGTCCTCGACACATTTGAAACTTTGAAAGTTCGTTATATTAGGTCGTATAAGTTCGTAGAGTTTTTACAAATCAGCAAAATAACAAAAATTTATCAAAATTCACTCAATAATGTATGACCATTGTTGTGAACAACCATTTGCCACTGCCATCAAACATTCGAACCCGTTTTTCCAAAACTCGGGGGGCGGGTCTCAAAAAAGTTGTGTCCAAGCAACGTCTGAGATCGTCTGAATTGAAGGAAACGCCGTACATATGATTTGCGGTGGAGCGGAACAGATAATAATCTGTAGGAGAGAGGTCTGGGGAGTACGGTGGTTGTTGAAATACCTCCCACTTTAGGTCCTCCAGGACAGCTTTGACCATGTTCGCTGTATGGGTTGTGCTTTGTCATGCAGGGGAATTACTTGGCCCCATCTGTTGGGCCTTTTTTGTAGTAAAGCTTCTTTCGAACGATGCAGTTGTGTGACGTATCTTATATATAAAGCTGAATGTCTGTTTGTCTGTATGTCTGTCTGTCTGTCTGTCTGTCTGTATGTATGTCTGTGTGTACGTATGTTCCGAATAGAAAATTCCATTTTTGAACCGATCCGGACCAAACTTGGCACACATACACTTCGGGCCCCGGCGGGTGTCATAGGCTACTTTTCGTCATCGATCGATATCGATTTTATCGATTTTTATCGATTTTTTTGCTGAGTTCACCTACGGGGCTGGGAGTTGGCACAGGGGGGTAATCGAGCATGGGGATTCCGAATACAATATTGGGTTTCAGGATTATCGATTACTTTTATCGATTTTATCGATTTTTTTGCAAAGTTTGAGCTAGGGGGCTGGGAGTTCGCACAGGGGGGTAATCGAGCATGGGGATTCCGAATACAATATTGGTTTTCAGGATTATCGATTACTTTTATCGATTTTATCGATTTTTTTGCAAAGTTTGAGCTAGGGGGCTGGGAGTTGGTACAGGGGGGTAATCGAGCATGCTGATCACCCCCAAGGGGGGTGATCAGCATGCTCGATTACACTCCTGTGCCAAATTCCAGCCCCCTAGCTCAAATTTTCAAAAAATCGATAAAATCGAAAAAGTAATGGACGATCCTGAAAACTAATATTGTGTTCGTAATCTGCATGCTCGATTACCCCCCTGTGCAAACTCCCAGCCCCGCAGGTCAAACTTTACAAAAAAAAATCGATAAAATCGATAAAAGTAATGGACGATCCTGAAAACTAATATTGTGTTCGTAATCAGCATGCTCGATTACCCCCTTGTGCAAACTCCCAGCCCCGCAGGTCAAACTTTACAAAAAAAATCGATAAAATCGATAAAAGTAATGGACGATCCTGAAAACTAATGTTGTATTCGGAATCCCCATGCTCACTTCGCCCCCTGTGCCAACTCCTAGCCCTGTAAGTGAACTCTGCAAAAAAATCGATAAAAATCGGTAAAATCGACATCGATCGATAACGAAAAGTGGACTGTGACACCCGCCAGGGCCCGAAGTGTATGTGTGCCAAGTTTGGTCCGGATACGGCGGAGCCGGGTAAGCCAGCTAGTAGGTTATAATCAACCGTCCCGTTCCTGTATAGCATCTCCCAGCATAAGATGCTATCCCAGTTCCACCAAACACTAACTGCCTTACGCTTGGCTCTGGCGTTTCTCCTGGACCGACCCACTCTTTTCTTGGTCTCAACTTATCGTACGTACACCAGTTCTCGTCGCCGGTAACAATTCTGTACAAAAATCGCTGCCTATGACCTCCAGTATTTTGATGACGAGCGAGGTGATGAGCTGCAATTGCAATCCTCACTTCTCTGGTGCTCTCAGCATGGGGTATCCAGGCGCCAAGTTTTTGGGAATATCCCATTGACTGGAGGTAGCGAGAGAGTGTAGCAGCACTATAGTTCATCTTCCTAGTCAGTTCCTTACATGCTTGACGCCGATCTTGCTTCAAGTGAGCGCTGAGACATCCTTTGTCGACCTTCGCGGATCGACATGCTTGTGGTGCCCTCCAAGTCCAGCTGGCCGTCTTTAAGGCAGCGTTCAGGCAAATCTGAACCTATGAGGAAAGTAATTTTGGAGTCCTAACTAAGTGTCGGCCCAAGCGGCAGCGCAAATGACTCACTAACGGATGAGATGTACGCCCCCAAACTGGACCCAGGATCGTATTATGGGACGAATAATGTTTGCAACTTTCGCGCGCGGACCCACGCGAAACTGATGTGTCGCGTAGGTCCGGTGTCATAGTTAGAGACCCAAAATAACTGCCAAATTACTGCCCATATGAGATCCCCATATCCAGATTTGCATGCGCGCTGTCTAAACTTACAAAACCACTCATAAGCCGTAGATACGTCTATAATACTCCGTACACGGCTCAGATTTCTCCTACTGCTTCTGCGGATTTTACGCTTTTAATAGGCAAAGAACAGCAGGTGCCGAAAGTGCTTATTTTTGCCCTTTCGGAATTCCATCTTCAAATGCTGAGAACTATAAAATGAGGTTTTTGCTTCGTAGCTAGATGCATCTCAAAGAGCATGAACAGCTCTTTCTGATGATATACGAAACTTGCCGTAAATTGACCACCCTTGGAAGAAATTAGGATGAGAATGAGAACTCTACAAACTTATGAAACGACCTAATAATTTTCACTCGTTTTCCACACCACAAGAATTTGATAAAAATGCTTATTTGGTCTTGACAAATATGCATCTTTGCGCAGGAAGTCTAGGAATGATGCTGATCTATTCGCATTTCCCTATTGATTTCTCTTTAGAGCGGACAAGCCATCTCTACATGATTTTCATGTTTACTAAACAAACAGTTTTTTTTTGAATTCTCTCAAAACACAAAGTATAACGTACTCAAATTGCAGTATTGTTGTTCAGTCCAAACAGTACTAATCTGATTACTAGCTTACTACTTGAAAGAATCTTAGAAATGATTGGTTGAAGTTATTTAAGTGCATGAATTGAATGCATTGTTTCTTGCAGTAAATTTTTGAATTAGAAATCTTACATCTTCATGATCAATTACAAACAATGTTACAGTTTGAAAGGGGTTAACTGCGAGATATCGATAGCTTATGTATTGGGCAGAGTATGAGACTGATCTCAGTTGCATATTGAATTTCCACTAATTGTTGCCACGTAATTAGAATCTTCAGTACCATTTGGCGATTTTTATTTTTCAGCCTGCTGAAGCTTTTGGAATGACTTGGACAAATACTTCTCCAGTAATAAACCTAAGCTCTTTAGCAAAGCAAAGGCGATTAGCTGGAATTGAATTTTGAATTCATTTCATACGCAAATCACCAGACTTGAAGAAGACGTTCAACTTTGAAGCCATAATGTTCTTGTGACTTTGAAAAACAAGAGATTTCATTTGGCAAATACTATATGTCATCGTAAAATGTGGCTGAAATTCACTTTCCTGTTTTCTCTGCTCATTTGCACAATTACTCAGAATGTCACCAGCAGATCAAAGAAGACGGTAAGACCTAAGCGTTGTCCATATGCTCTCCGTAGCTAAATTCTTTCTTGTTCACTCAAAAGCAACTGATTTGATTTCCTCGATCACTTGGTGCCAAAATAATTCTGATCACATTTGCAATAAAAGCTAACTTAGGTTTTGTTTCACTAAAAAATTATCCATAAAATTTTGGAAAATTTCTCTCTTCTTCTTTTGAGTTATCTCTGAGGTTGCAGCTTTTTGATGCAAATTTTTTTGCCAACGTTTTCCACTATTATAAGCAGTCTTTTGATTTAAAATTCCCCTGGAATATTTCTGGCAATTTTCCAACTGCTTGCGTTATTGGAAGGCTCTTTTAGCTTTCGCATTAGCATCTATACTTTTGAAGCCACAGAAATTTGAGAAGATGTAAAAAATAATGGAGGATTTTCCAAGAGATATGAAAAAATGATAGATACTAATACAAAAGTGCGCTTACTTTCACTGTAACTCACGTCAGAAGGTAAGAATCGAGCAAATAGTCAAAGCACATCTTTTCGCAGATATTTATAACTGCCCTTCTACAAATTGAAGCGTACATTTTTACATCTATTCCTCAGACAATTCGCCGGAACTTCCGCAGGACAAGCAGAATTTGCAGCGGTTCCGTGACACTTTCTCAACCATTGAAATGCATGCTCCATTTTGTAGGGTTTCCGCAGGAACTTGAAGCCAAAGCGATCGTGGACCGGAACTTCCGCAACACTTACCTTAAAGTGCTGCTACATTAGATCAATTACATTACATCAAATTAAATACAATCGGATTACAATACACTACATCAAATCTTAGCATCTTAAAAGGGGTATTTAGCATCAAAGGAAAGATGTCTCAGTAAAAAGCGGAACACTGGTATTCCGAAATGAACTTTATGGAAGAAACGGATCGCGAATAAATTGAAAACCGGCGGGGATCCCAAAAAGTGCTGCGGAAACGCTCCGCACTTCATTGCAGCGGTTCCGCAGCGCTTCGGCAGGGCTTCCGCATGTGACCCGACGGAAATGCTGCAAGCGCTGCGGAAGTTCTGGCCAGTTGTCTAAGTCCGCGCTTCATAAAATTTTGGTACAGCCAGCTCCTCATACGCCAAGCATAACTTAGCAGCGTTTGATTTTGATTTCCATGTATTAAATCTGCGCAAATCAATTATATTATTAATTTTCTTTTCCTTTCTATGTAGTCGAACCACAATTAGATGGCTAAAGTAAGGTATGCAGAAGAATGCCCACATTTCCAAGGGTAAATCAAAACCACAGCAAACATTGTTTTGGAAACTAGTCCGATCTAAAATTAACGGTTTAGGTGACTGTGGGGATAATTGCAAATGAACACGTTCTTCCTACAAGCATAGCCTGGTCCTTATGCGGAGGTGGTCTTGGTTTGGCCTACGACAAGCTGAGACAAGATTACAATTTTGACGACTTTGAGTTCAGGTAATTTTTTATGGACCAAACATTTAGATACAAGGATTTAGTAACTTCTCCATAGCTCAACTCTCCCAACAAGGTTTTATTCTTCGACGACCTTATTCAAATCAGGTTCCTTATCGGATACAGCGACTGCGATCTTGCTACAACGCTTGGACTTGGCATCGAGTATATGTCGCGACAAAATGCTGACGTCGTCTTAGGACCACCATGTCCGGAAGGTTCATTACACACATTTTCGTCAAAGCTTGTCAAAATATGCCAAAATCAGAGAACTTGTTTCTATAATCACACTTTTCTTCCCACTATTCTAGATTACATCATCATGAAATCTTTAGTAATTAGGTTGGAATATAAGCCTTGCACAAAAAATTCCAAAAAGTTCATTCAGAAATGTCAGAGCAACGTTTCAATCTGTTTAGTAATTTTTTTCGTTACTCAAGATTTGTGCAGTACTTTATCGTATAAATTAGGGTTTTATTTCAAACAATATCAAAACTCTAAAAAATTCGGAAATTATAACTCCTTTTAGAGACGTCCTATCAGCACAAATTTATCTTATTATCAATTGAAAAGCGTAAATTGAAAACTCAAATAAAAAATAAGCATACAAATTTTAGACCTTCCAGCATTTTTAGGAATCAAAAGTAAACTTAATTTGAGTGTTTGCGTTCAGAATACTCAGAAAAAGTAAGGTTTTCTCCTTCTAATTTTTATCATTACAAACAGATTCAGTGAACCAGGAGATTATCGAATTTTGAAAACTGATGTAAGACTTATGTTTCAATCTGATATAACTGATAAATTATCATTCGGACAGCCCCCTAGCTCTTATGTTTAGATGTTTATGAAAGTGGGTACGGTAACGCTTACACTACCGTAATCCGCACCCACGAGTAGTATTCGCAGGCTCAAATATCAGCTAAGGTGTGACTTCTATCAAAATGAAATCAGCTGACATGAATAAAGAGAAGATTAACTAAAAGTTCTACCCAGGTTACGGTTAGTGTACTATAAGCACAAAAAATCTACCTTCACTACAGTTTCTTTCAACTGTTTCTACTGGCACAAATAACCGTTCTTAAGCAGGGCTGATAATGGCACATCTGTCAAACGTCTATAAAAAAGCATGGTTGGGATGGGGATACGTCAACAATCCAGAATTTTCTCTTGCTGACAAATATCCGTTGATTTCGACACTTGCAGCTTCTGCAGCTACGTAAGTTCCAATTTTATTGCCTTTTTTGTTCCAGAACACTCCATTGAGCAGGGTGAACTGAGGTTTCTTCTCAAGTTGCCTCCTCCCCCCCCCCCCACAGGAATGGAGCTTTCAAGAGTATGGGGAATGTTCTAGTGTGAATATTTTAGGGTAGGTCAATGTGCTCTGGAAGTGATAACACGATTTCGATGGGACATTGTCTCAATAATCTACACAACTAATGAAGTGCGATTCTGTGACGACATAATGGACTCTTTAATGGTATCCACAAAGATTTTACTTTCTATATTTAGCAACTTTTTTCAGAATTCGCTCAGCGATGCAAACGCTGCTTTTACGCCTAGAATTGCTCTCAAACAAATCGTAGATCCTAATGATGATGAATCATTCAAGCAAACCTTACGACAGATTAAGGCTAGATCACGTGGTTTGTCGGTTTCTTGCCACAGGATTCTAAAGTGTGATTTTGTCAAATTTCAGTGGTTATTTTTTGTATGGACCTCACAAGTGATCGGCGTACATTCCTGATAAAAGTGGACCAAATGGGAATGACAAATAACGAATACGTGTTTTTCATGCTGGGATTGCGTAGCAACGCTTTCGGTCAGATAGTTTTTTGAAGGCAGTGTGGGGGCAAATCTGACCTTCTAGACTTCTTCAATAGGGCTTAACTAAGCCATTGCCCAAGTGGCAGATTATTTCTAATTCCTCGTCGCTAAGAAATTTCACTCCAAACTTTGGTCCAATACCTTAGTAAAGGACTCTAACTGGTTTACGACTACGGTGGCGGGCAGGAGTTCGGAACTGTCACAACCATGAATGAATCGTATGATGTGCTGCGCTTAGGGAATGTGCAGCCGATGATATGTTGCCTATAGGCGCCACCCCCGTGGATAATTGGCTTCAAACTCTAACGAGTAGAGGTGCATGATTTGTTGCAGATGTGCGCGCCGAAGCCTTCCCTTCGAAGGGGATGCAGGAGTTCCTGGCACATCCCTCGCACCACGGTCAGCACTAGCATTCGTACCCGGCAGAGTTCAAACACCTTAGAGGAGGCGCCGCCCATTGCTCCACCTACTGATTGATTTCATTGAAAATTGAGAAAGTGGAGAAATTAGCCCTAGCTGCACTGAAGGAACAATGAAGAAAAAAAACAAGCTGAGGGCAGAACGAACGTCAACAGTCAACTCACGTGTACTCATCACTAATCGTCATTGTTTCAAACCAATAACCTTCCTACAGTACCAACACTGCCCTTTGAAATTCTACGATATAAGCGCAATGTCGAGCCGGAAGTGCCGCATCGCGATAGCTCGCTTATTACAGTCAGTCCGATTTTAGTTTCAATATTTGGAATCAGAGAGTTCTGATTCCAAATATTGAAACTAAAATCCGACTGACTGTAATAAGCTCCAGAGTTCTGAACCATCTGAAAGTGTTCTCAAAAATTCCCACATCTCTTTTTGAAAGATATTTTTTCAGGACCTTCGGCGAAATAAACGCATCGCCGCACCGCCATAACTTTCTTCACCTTGAATCTTTCAATTTCTATTTTGGATATTTGGAATCGGCGTCTCCTAAGCTACCTAAATAAGCTTTTGAAAAACTTGAAATTTCGGTTTCAAGCACTTTTGGCTCCATGCCAGCTTCGGCCCAAACGCAGTGTCGCGTTGGAAGCGCCGCACTAGTATGACTCGGTTCAAAGCCCTTCAACTAATTTTTTGATCAAATAGTTGAAACCGGCACCATTTTGTCTACTCATGAGTTTACTCACACTTTGCTGATTCTCTTGTTCTGGTACTTTTTTGAATTATCAACGCGATAAAAACAGTATGTCGCGTTGAAAAAGCCGGACTGGTGTAAATTTCTCCTTGTCTTTCGAATCAATGTTAATTTTCATATTTGGAACCAGCAAGTTCTAAGCTATTCTAGGATATATCAAAATGCAACCCCGAATTTCCCAGATTTTTTTTGGTCTCACATAGTGTCCTAATTAGCTAGGCTGGTTCTGGCTTTTGCCACGATGACCTGACAGTATCGGTTTTTCATCAAAATCTCAGCAATTTGATGACATAAATCGAAAGTGAGATGGATACAAAGACCTTGACAGCTTGACAAAATTAACTCCAATTTGAAACCTGAAATAGTGTTTAAGTTTCGCGAGTCTTCCCATTTGGAAAACTGGCTAAGTTATTGGACACTTCAAGATTTTGTAAAGCAAATGAATTTCGATTATTTACTCTTATCCGAATGACTATTTTTCTGAATAAATCAAAAATTAAATTTGCTAACTTCAACTGCTAATTAGCTAAGTTCGAAAGAATGAAAATTTGCACAAGCTTTGTCAAATTTCTTCAGGTTTCGGGCAGCATCTGAAAAGTAAGCTGGTGTAACTTTGTCAAGAAGTGTGCAGCCACCCGACTGCTTCATTGACCTTCTTTCGATTTGTAATTATGGATACTAACGATTATGATCTGTGACTACGGATTTATAGTCGTCCTCACCCCACTAGTCGGTCGGTGGACGAATTCGAATTCGAACTGGAGCAGGCAGGTCGCGGCAGAGCACGGCACCTTAGCTCTCCGTTCAAATTCACGCATTCACTTGGCGTAATTCTTCGCCATTGCTTAGCGGTTTTTTAATTGTTACAACGTTTTTGACCTATATTGAGTTTTTGTAATTGGTGAGCGCTGTCTCCTGCCGCGCTCTGCCGTAACAGGTCTGCTCCAATTCAAATTTGACTTCGTCCACCGACCGACTAGTGGGGTGAGGGCGACTATACCAGATTTTCCGAAATTGCAAGTGTTGCGAAGGTCACATTGACAACTAAACTATAAAAGAAACAAATATTTAGCATTACAATTGTCGAACTCCTCTAATTTCAGAAACTTTCTCTGAAGCGTCGTCAAAGGAGTGGGGTACATAGAATATCTGACTTCCTTTAGCAAGTCTAGAAAACTCTAAAGTCATGTAAGAAAGTGGTACCTAAAGTCTGGACAAAGATTTTGAAAAGCAGCCTGATTTACTTCAATAATCTTTGGAACCTACAAAGTGATATATGAGAGACGAGAGCAAAGAGGCTGAATTTGACTTTCTTAAAATTTTATAAAATCTTCATAGAGCTTGAAGAACGTCCCAATTACAAGGGGAATTGAAAATAACAGATGTTTTGCTTCGAAAAGGTACTTCAAGGAAGTGTTGATTACAACTAAGAAAATTTCCATCAGAGGATATCCGAGTGAGTAAAATGCTCAAGCAGTGAAATCATGAGGTCATCGCTCTCCCTTGAGGAACGCTTACAAAAAATTAGGACACAATTTTACCACCCAACGACGCGATGGATTGGATTTTCTAGCGGTTAGACATTGCAACCCAGTACATGACTTCTCAACAGAGTTTTACAATCTTTTCCACTTCAACCCTCAAAAGAGTTTTACAATCTTTTCTACTTCACCATTACAAAACAAAAGTTCTAACTGCTCAGCAGGCTCTCGTCTCAGAAAATCAAAAGAATTGCCAGCACTCCTGTTCAAAAATTTTCAGAGATTCCAAAGACTCTTCGATTTTCATATCGCAATGAACTGGAATGTAATATGGAGCTTTCAACAACTTTCATAGCTTTTCATGGGTTTTCATATAAAATTTAAAAATTACGAGTCTTACAGCCTTTTTTCATATAGCACTTTTAGAGCTTTCGGGAACATACTACTACTCTCTTAACACCTTGAGAAATTCTAAGTCTGTAGAACTCTGTTCGGCCAAAATTCTTTACGATTTTCAAAAAATTGTGAGCATTTTAACTATAAAATTCATAGATTCTAAATTCGTGTAATTCCTCAACAGGGTAAATCTAAAAAGAGTTTTTGAAATGTTTTCAAAATTTTTTCCTAGAATTCAAACTGGAAGCCTGATCTAGGGATTCTATTATTTCAGCAAAAAATTTATGTATCTCGTTATTCTGATTAGCAATGTTTTTTCTCCGCGCTCCGATTCACTTTGAAGTTTCGAAATTTCGGATCGATGTCGAAAAATTACGGTGTCCACTTAGAGTTTCTAATCTACTCCGATTTCTCAGTAATGCGAATTGAAGATCAATGGCACTCACAGTCTCTCTCCGAGTGCTTCAAACTCTCAGCGTTGAAGGTTTGGAGTTCTCATATTCTACTTTCGTAAACTTTAGAGAATGACATTTATGAGAATACCAAAAAAACTATGACTTTTCAGCAGTTTGGCTCTGAATACGATCGTTACAGCATTTGCCAAGAGCTGACACTTCTTGACAAAGTTACACCAGCTTACTTTTCAGATATTGCCCGAAACTTGAAGAAACTTGACGAAGTCTGTGCGAATTTTCAATTTTACAAAGTTAGCAAATTAGCAATCGAAGTTAGCAAATTCAGTTTCTGATTTACTGAGAAAAGTAGTCATTCGGATAAGAGTAAACAAATCAAAATTTATCTGATGTACAGAACAGTTTTCCAAATAGGAAGACTCGCGAAACTTAAGCATTACTTCAAACTGCAAATTGGAGTTAATTCTGTCAAGGTGTCAAGGTGTCTTTGTATCCCTCTCACTTTCGAATTATGTCATCAAATTGGTGAGATTTTGATGAAAAGTCGATACTGTCAGGTCACGTGGCAAAAGCCAAAACCAGCCTGGCTAATTAGGGCACAGACCAAAAAATCTGGGAAATTTGGGGTTTTGGACTTTTGATATATCTTAGAGTAGCTTAGAACTTGCTGGTTTCAAATATCAAAATTAACACTTGATTCGAAAGACAAGAAGAAATTTACGCCAGTCCGGCTTTTTCAATGCGACATGCTGCTTTTATCGTCGTTGATATTTCAAAAAAGTACCAAGACAAGAGAATCAACAAAGTTTGAGTAAACGCATAAATGTACAAAATGGTGCCAGTTCCAAATATTCAATCGGAATTTTGGTTGAAGGGCTTTGAACCGACTTACACTAGTGCGGTACTTCCAACGCGACATTGCGTTTAGACCGGGCATGGAGCCAAAAAAGCTTGAAAGTAAGATCAAATTCTTCAAAAGCTTATTTAGGTAGCTTAGGGGACGCCGAATCCAAATGTACAAATTAGAATCTGAATATCCGAGCAGAACCATTTTCGCCTTGAAAAGTGCACATTAAATGAGGAAACCAAACTAATGAGACTGAACGATTTAAAAAAAAGCACCGGTGGGTTACATCGCATTTTTCTCGAAAGTATTGCAACAGCCCCAACTTTCTGTCGAACAAACTGTTGATAATATATGTGTTTAGAAAATCTCTCACTAATTGATCTCCTTTAACTCAAATTGCTTGAGTTAAAGAAGATTTGTTTTGTTTGAGATTTGTTTATCTGAATACTTCTAAAAGAAAATGAACCATTCCAATGAAGTTATGTGAACGATATTTTCCCTAAATAACTACTACTAAAACTGAAAAACCTCAAGATTTTTGAGGTAAAGTAACTACACTAAAAATGATTTGGAACCCAGTTCTCTCTTTATCTTCAACACTTCCGATTGATATTCGAAAGAACTCATTTTTCTATTGAAAACAATCAGCCATTTTCACCATTCCGAAACTGGAGTACTGTGAAATTTGTGCGAATATTCATCGGATTTTTAAGTATAGTCTCGTACTTTCACCTTTCATTCATTTAATCCAAGAAATGATCGGCTAGAAATATTAAGAGACGATTCATGGTTTATTGGGGATTCAACTAGAAGTCCCAAATACCGCATCTGATTTGCAAAATAATATTGAATTGCTAACGCTAGATGACAGTTGAATCTGACTTGAATCTCATGATATGTTGTGTGACTTGAAATAATGAGTAATAAGCCTCATTGACTTTTTCGGATGCGAAAAGATTAAAAGTGTCGATCAATTTGTTTGGATGCATACGTACAAGATACTTCAGACTTCTAAGAATTCATTTCTAGTGTGGCTTCCCAGGTTCAAAAAAAGACCGGAAGTTTCAGAATCATCCTCTTATGTTAGGTCTTTAGCCTGCAATTAGAAAGAATTCTTAGTTCGCCTACAATTCAGAATGAGCGTACTTTGGAGGCGGAGCAATCGATTGAGTTGCCCTTCGGTCCCTAAGGTGTGAGGTCCCTTCGAGGTTTCCTTGAAGGTGCTGAGTGCCCCTGCAAGGAAAGACGACAAGGCTTCGGGAACTCCTGCTACGCCGTCTCTCCTTTCTGCGACAAAACCCTGCATGCCGACTGGGCAAAGGATCAAACAAAGCCATCCAAACATATTTCATATCGCGGCTACAAAGCGCGAGCTGCAAGTTACAGTTTCCGTTTCCCAAGCTGCGATATCATCTGAGTTGATCTTTTACAGAATTTAGCGCCATCGTCACGTCAACAACTTGGAGCGGTGATGGGATTCAAGATATCGAGATCAGTGCAACAACTTCAAGCCGTTGGACGGCATCATCCTGCATCACGTTTTCTCTTGATCATTTTTGATAGAACTGCGCCTTATGGTATTTTGGGAGTGCATCATTTTTGATAGAGAATTGCGCCTTATCGTATTTTGGAAACTACGCCTTTTATGCCGCCTAAAAAAGAACATCTTGGGAGCTTAGTCCTTTGCACGCCAGTATGAAGAAAAAAATTCCTAGGGCTAAGCTCCTAGCACGCCTTTGACAAAATACTCAGTTAGCTAAAGCAATATGTTGAAAGTCAATTTTGAGATGCGCCAAAGAAAATAATAGATCGAGCTTTTACTAGTGTAGTAGCTGTATGTTATTTGTTATATTGCGCCGTCGTATTTTTTATCATAAAATATTGGTGAAAGACAGGGTTTAATTACCCAAGTTTGAGGTTTCCGACAATAAAGTGGTCGAGTGGTTGGTGTTGGTGAACAGTGTGAACCACCGTGCAAATTTATGGTGCAATCGACCTAAGGAGAACAACGACACAAATACTGGTACGAGTAGACACGCCTCGCCTCTTCAACTTGGTCTATAATTGCGCAGATTTAAATACTAACTTTCTTTGCGCAGATTAACCAGTTATATGGTTATTGACTACTAACTTCTATTTCAAAACGATACCAAGGTTTTTCGCAACTCTACCTTGGTCAGTACGCACGCCATCATATTTGTCATATCCAAATAAAAACCAAGGCTTTTGCATTGCCACCTTGGTCAACGAGTCTAATGTCGGGTCCTACTTCGTTAAAGTCACAAAAAGCTCTTTTAACGCGATATTGTAACAACTTAGCATCTAATGTGGAAAAAAGCCAAGAGCTATCAAGATTAGAGATTCTAGCCTTGAGAGATTCTACTAAGCGAGCGCAAGTACAAGCACAAATATTCGAACTCAACGCGATCTCCAAATTAGTTGATGATTCACTAGCAACATTTACGGCCACAGTTGATTCTCTGATCGACACTTTGAATGAGGAGCAAGAAGCTCAAGCGCAAGAATACATAGACAAAGCGCATGCAAACTTAGACAGCGCACGATCACTCGCTATCGACTTAGAAGCAAAAATGTACAGCGCGCATGACCAGATGAATTTCGAAGCAGACAAAACAGTATGGGAAGGACAGATAATGGCAAAACCAAAACTGCCAGCTATCCCTATTCCGATTTTCTCGGGTAAAGCGTGGCAATTTGAAAACTTTTGGACGCTATTTGAGGCCAACGTTAATAGCCAACCATTGACGAAATTGCAAAAGTTTAACTATTTGGTAAGCGCTCTTAGGGGGGAAGCGCGAGAAACTATACAGCGTTACCCCATATCGGAAGATAATTATGATCTTGCGCTAGAGCTACTTCGGAATAAATACGGAGATGAATTCAGACTCATTTCAAGCCTACAACGTCGTCTTGAGGGGGCGAAAGCGGAAAATAGTTCCATTCCAGCGCAACGAAAGCTTTTAGAAAATCTTATACCGATAATAGCACAGCTACAGAAAAAAGGTGTTGAACTGAAAGGATCCTTCACATCACAAAAGATTCTTTCAAAGTTCAATTCTTCCATTCAGAGAAAAATTTTAGAACAAAAAATAGAAGGATGGCGTACGGAAGGGGATTGGAAAATCAATGAACTTTTAGAAGAATTAGATAAACAAATAACCAAAGAAGAGCGCATAAAGGGAATGGTAACAGAGGCCACAGACGGACGGAATAATAAAATTAGATCAAGTACATGGAATCCAAATACCGTAGTACCAGTATGTTTATTTTGCAAATCGACGCAACATCGCTCGATGTTTTGTTCTAAGTACACAACAATCGAGCAGCGACGCCAATTTTTTGATGAAAACAAAAGATGCTTCAATTGTGCGAAAGAGGGTCACTCAGTAAAACAATGCATGGGGGCATGTTGTAGATGGTGCAGCGGGAAAAAACATCATCACACTCTTTGCCCTATGCGAACACGAAACGGAAACAGCAGAGAATTTACAAAAGCGGGTTATTCGCAGGAACCACTATCAAGAGCAACACCAACACAACATAAAAGGACTAGTAAAGTAAAAATAGCACAACGGTCAAAACCAGCAACCGGAGCAGCCCACCCAATACAAACCATCGAACCAGAAAATGATGACTTCGAAAAAGGAGAATTCACAACAAGGGAAGACGACAACAATAAAACCATTGTTTGTCACAATCAAAATTCAGCCATAAAAACAAAAGAAACAGTACTTTTGCTGACGGGACAAGCGCGGGTAAGGGACGCAAAGAACAACCTCTGGAGAGAGGTTGAAATTCTCTTTGATACTGGTGCTGATAAATCATTCATTTCGCAAGCACTAGCAAAAGACTTAGGGCTGGATAGCTCAAGTACACAGGAGTTGTTAATGTATACTTTCGGTAACGCGAATCCCCTACCAACTAAGTGTTCGGTCACTACACTGGATCTATGGGACAAAGAGAACAAAAGACATAGAGTTCAACTATGCGCTACTCCATTGCTGATTAGCAAAGGTAAAACCGCGCGACTTAGTGAAGCAGATGAAGAATTCATATCACGCAATAAGTTAAGCCTATCTAAATCGTTGGGAAATGAAGAAACACAACCGCAAATCCTGCTAGGTTGTGACCAATTGTGGAACTTCCTGGAAGTACCCAGACCGAAATTCTCCCTCCCATCAGGACTGCACTTAATCCCCTCAAAATTGGGATACTTGATATGTGGGAAACAACATACGGTAGAATTTCAGGGTTGTAAAGAAGGAAAAAACCCGATTAGCACAAGAATCAATACTTTAGTCAATTTCGATGATGAACTCAAACAATGGGAAAAGTATTGGACGATAGATTCGTCGGGGGTGTGTGAATTCACCGGTACGAAAAACGCCGAAAAAGCGGCAATCAACAAAAGGGTACAGAACTTCTTTGACGAAACTATTCAAAAAAGACCGGATGGATATTATGTCCGCTTCCCGTACAAAGATAATCATCCACCGCTACCGACGAATGAAGCGATTGCAAGGAAGCGATTGTCCAGTGTACTATCCTCATTGAAACTCAAACCGAATATACTCCAAGAATATGAGAATATTCTTCAAGATCAGCTAGAAAAAGGAATAATTGAAGAGATCCCCAATCAACTACCCGCGCGAGGCCTACTTCATTACATACCACATCAACCAGTAGTCACGCCAAAAAAGGAAACTACCAAAGTACGTATAGTTTTCGATGCGTCATCGCACTATAAGCAGTGCCCATCACTCAATGACATTCTTCATCAGGGCCCGCTTATATTGCCGGACTTGATAACTTTGCTTCTACGGTTCAGACTTCCGGCGTATGCGATTACTGCAGATGTAGAAAAGGCATTCCTCCAAGTACATCTGCACGAGGATGACAGAGATGTCACCCGATTTTTCTGGGTTCATGACGTTACGCTCCCTCCTGAAGGCGACAATATAAAAACGCTACGTTTTACACGAGTCACCTTCGGATTGAACGTATCGCCATTTTTACTAGGCAGAACCATACAATTCCATTTGGAACACTCGGAAGAAAATCACGAACTTGCGCAAGAAATTCGCGAAAACCTCTACGTCGATAATCTCATACTTTCTGCACAAACCGTAGAGGAGGCACGAGATAAAGCCTTAAGAGCCCGCACAATCTTTAAGAACATGAAAATGAATTTGAGAGAATTCGCTTCAAACGACATTTGCTTGAGAGAAATCTTACCTGAAGAAGCGTGCGCAAAAATCACCACAATGAAACTCTTGGGAATCAGATGGGAAACGACGTCGGATCTTTTGTCAATATACTGTGAACTACCACCCACAGAAACAGTCACCAAAAGAGTCATTGCACGCCAGATTGCTTCGGTATATGACCCCTTTGGATGGCTAACTCCACTCCTAACGAAACCAAAAAGATTTCAGCAAGAACTGTGGGAGAAAAAATTTGACTGGGACACGATACTTCCTACTCCCCTCGTCCAAAAATGGAATGAAATCAGGCAGTATGCTCATGGTTTTCAGAAAACTTTCTCAAGACGAGTCCCTCAAAATTCGACGTTGGCCATATTTTCAGATGCCAGCGAAATAGCTATGGCCACATGTGCCTACCTTTTTGACGGTTGTACGGCTACTTTGATAGCAGCGAAGTGCAAATTTCCTTCAATACAAGGAAAAACCACGATACCAAAGATGGAAATGAATGCACTCACAATGGCGGTCAGACTCGCCCTTTCAATTTTCAATGCAATTGGGAAAGGTAACAAAACACACTATAAAGAAATCTATATTCTTGCAGACTCAAAAATTGCCTTACACTGGATTTCCACAACTCAAGACCGAAAAGGAGCAGGAGTCCTTGTAAGCAACAGAGTCGCAGAAATATATAGAATTCTGGAGACCTTACAAGAAGCAGGAGTTACAGTACACTTCAAATACGTCCCCACAAGCGATAATCCAGCGGACGCAGGGACGAGAGGACTAACAAAAGACCAACTGAAAAACCATATTTGGTGGCACGGGCCGGAATTTCTCAGAAAAAACAATTCAGAGTGGCCAACTTTGGACTTTTCTGTGAACATCAAAGACCCGGAAAAAATAGCAATAATAAACTCTATCATTGACAACCCCACAGAATCAGCGGAACATCTGATGCAGTTGGAGAGATACAGCACTTTTACAAAGGCAAAAAGGGTTACCTCTTGGGTACTACTCTTTCTTCTGAAAACCATGAGAGGCTTACCTCAAGAAAAAAGAAGACAAGTTGAAAATGCTCTGGAAGTACAAAGTGAGAAAAACCCTGATATACCTATTCAGGTGAACGCAAGGTTAATGAGAGCAGCGGAATTGGTATTGATAAAAAACCACCAGCGCATTTTTCTGACAAATAATTACAAAAGATCTATGGAAAATACTCTTCGATTGTATCAAGACCATGAGAATGTCTGGAGATCCCAAGGAAGACTAGCGAACTCTTCTTTAAGCCAAGACACAAAAAATCCAATATTCATAGCGCCGAAAACTGAGCTAGCAACACTGCTAATAAAAGAAGCGCATGGAATATATCATCTGGGGATAGAACACACTATTGCAAAAGTTCGAGAACGTTTCTGGATTCCCAAAATTCGTCAACAAGTACGAAAACTCATAACTTTCTGCTTTCAATGCAGAAGATTCAACGGGTTACCTTACCACTACCCAGATAGCGATAGTCTGCCACAATGCCGTACTCAAAAAAGCAGAACATTCCAACATATTGGTCTCGATTTCTTTGATCTTCCACCTATCCAGGAATCAAATGACCAATTGAAAGCTTATGCATGTATCTTCACCTGCGCCACTACCCGCCTGATCCACCTAGAAGTGGTGAAAACCATGTCAACAACAGAATTTTTGAACGCTTTTCGCCGGTTCATAGCGCGCAGGGGGGTCCCGGATTCGATAACCTGCGATAACGCACCAACATTCCTTCTAAGCAAATCTATCCTCGCAGACCATGAACAAACAAAGATGAATCCAGAAATTTTACGAGTGACGTCCAGCCAAGGCATAGAATGGCGGCACATCACACCGTATGCACCTTGGCAAGGAGGATTTTATGAAAGATTGATCAAATCCATTAAGCACGCGCTGTATAAGACTATAAGACCTTCAAGTGCACTCTCAATGGATCAGTTAACCACATTGATGATCGAAATCGAAGCATGTTTGAATTCGCGTCCTCTGACATACCAGGGGTCTGATAGAGATTCATTATGTGCAATACGCCCCATCGATTTCATACAACGCGATATAATCCTTTATCTACCATACTCGCTAGAATCTTTACAAGATCCTACATACCATACTCCAGAGGAATTGTTAGTGTTAGAAACGCGCCTTCAAGCAGAAAAAGCGCTACAGTCCTCGTACGCACTAACCGAGAAGTTTTGGACAATATGGGAAAAACAGTATATCGTCGCCCTTCGTGAAAAACATAAGAAAAACATCTCTACAAAACGTCATTGCAAGGACACTCCAAAGATTGACGACGTAGTTTTGGTAAGCGACCCGGTCTTGCCAAGAAATGACTGGAAAATTGCAAGGATTACGAAACTCGACAAATACGTGAATGGGGAACCAAGGGAGGCTGAATTAATAACAAACAAAAAGAGAAAGATTCGACGACCTGTCAACCTCATCATTCCTCTAGAACTTAGTGAAACGCAAGTCCAAGAAGAAAATGACAAAACAGCACAAAATCCGCTCACAAACCAGGTAAATGACGCCCGTCCCTATAATTTGCGCCCTCGCAAACAAACTAACTATGTTGACTGCGCGATCACAGAAAATACACGAACACCTCCAAGAAACAGTGCGAAATGGTTTTTGTTTCATATGATGATATTTTACTGCGTCATTGTTACTGGAGCGTCAGAAACGGACGACATTACATTGACTTGCACAAATTCCGGAATCGTGATAGAAACATTGAAAAACAGAACAGTGGAAGTTTGCGCTGATAATCACTGTCAACTTCATCCAATATACACCCAGAAATTGTCAACGCGATTTCCACCTAGTGTCACTTTACATGACCATCTGATCACAGTAAAATGGAGCGAAAAAGGAAGGACAATCATCAAAGAGAAATGGTGCGACAAACTGAATTTCTGTGATAGCATCGATTGTTCGTTTTGTTCAACAGTGATACTAAATCCGGAGTGCTGGCCTGTAAGAGCGATCATTATGGTAGCACTGATCCTCTATGGAATAATAGCAATAGTTTATTTACTCCTCTACGTACCCATGACTATTGGCAAACCCATAAGAATCTTCCTCTACCTTCTTATGCTCCTAGCACGATTCTGTTTCCGCAAGTTGTGGTCTTGTTTCCGAGCAATAACGTCAACATGCTTCAAAAGTTCCCGAAAGTCAAGATCAGCACGATGGACAGAAGCGTTAGCAATATTCGCAGTCATGTCCATGAGAAACACAACTTTGGCTTGTCAACACATCGACATTCTTGAACATCATTCAACCGTTTGTGAAGTTTCAAACAAAAAAGAATTTTGTACTGTAGAACTGAAAGAAGTTTTGAAACTAAACACCTTCAAACAAGAGGCTTGCTTGCACCTGACCAGAAACTCTTCTCTTGTCGAAAACATAAAAGTGCGCTGGAAAGGGCTAAGATTGTATTGTGACAAAGAAACATTGTTTTTCACCAGATCCTCCACGCTGCAAGTTATCGACAGCAAGCGCTGCCCACATATGGGAAGTTGTACAGGAACAAAATGCGCGGCAATCAACACGACAAGCATCATCCCTGAACTAGACTTAGGAAATCGATACCCAGGCCGAACGGGTTGTCTAGAATCCTGCGGAGGGTTAGGCTGTGATTGTTTTTACCCAAGTTCCGGGTGCTTATTCTACCGAATTTATGCTACGCCAAAGAATTCGGAAGTATACGAAATTTTTAGATGTTCCCGTTGGACTGAAAAAGTCAAATTAGACATATACATAGAGAACTTGCGTTTAGGGAAAAGACATTACATACTTTCAACCCTTCCCAACATTCCAATTAGTATCCCGAGGGTGCAAATAACACTCACCTCGGTTACACTCCCACCCACGCCCCTGTTGCACGATAAATTCATAACAAATGGCAAAGATACAGCCCTCTGGCACTCCACGTTTACACCAGACCTGACATGTAACACAAGTAACGCAGCTAGGACGTTCAATTGTACCATGACAGATAACTGCTTATGCTCACCGGCAGAAAATAAAGTTGTTTGTCAATGCCCACAAAAAGATCTTGAAAGAGAATTCTACCAAATCCAGAACAAACTTCCCATCAAAACAGCTGCATGGCAACTTAGCAACTTTCATGGCACGATAGTAGCACAAATACCGCAGATGGTTTCAGCAGAAGTAATCTTAACTAAAAAGGGAATCATAGATACAGCAATTTTAGAAGTACACGACGGTACTTGTCTTGTAGAAAATACCGCCTTAACAGGATGCTACAATTGCGCGCGAGGAAAAAGAAGAATCAGAGCTTCTGGAGATGGAGGAAGAGAGTGAAGCAATGGTTGAGGAATCAGTGGAAGTCGAAATGATGAGAGAAGGACCACCCCCCCTCGTCGAAGAAGAGGAGGAGTTTGATTACGAAGAGGATGATGAGGAGGGGGTGAATCTCGATGAGGTCCGGATCCGAGAATTGCAGCTGGAAATACAACAGGTGCGTCAAGCCATAGAGGACCTGGAGCTAATAATCAAAGACCTCGAGGCTCGCCCAACCTGTCCACCCAGAAGACTCTCTCGGGGAGGAACCGTTCGGGACTACGAGCGCTTTATGAGATGCGCATTTTGTGGTCAGAAGGGCGCTCATTACTCGGACTCTTGTCCGGTAATACCGAACGGGGCTGGCCGTAGGGAGTACCTGGCAGAACGCAGGAGATGCGAAATCTGCCTGGAATTGTTGTGTCCAGGCGGAAGAGAATGTCGAAAATGGGTTACTCCCTGTTTTCACTGTCGCAGGTACGGCCACCATTCCTCCCTCTGCGAGCTACCGGAGGCAAGCCAGCCCATTTTGGAGAGGCTGGCGCGCGCTCGCCAAGCAGTGGAACGCGAACGAGCGCGGCTGCGCAGACTACAGGAAGAACTCGATGTCTTCATCAACCACTAATCAAGGTGGGGCGGCAGTATCGCGGCTACAAAGCGCGAGCTGCAAGTTACAGTTTCCGTTTCCCAAGCTGCGATATCATCTGAGTTGATCTTTTACAGAATTTAGCGCCATCGTCACGTCAACAACTTGGAGCGGTGATGGGATTCAAGATATCGAGATCAGTGCAACAACTTCAAGCCGTTGGACGGCATCATCCTGCATCACGTTTTCTCTTGATCATTTTTGATAGAACTGCGCCTTATGGTATTTTGGGAGTGCATCATTTTTGATAGAGAATTGCGCCTTATCGTATTTTGGAAACTACGCCTTTTATGCCGCCTAAAAAAGAACATCTTGGGAGCTTAGTCCTTTGCACGCCAGTATGAAGAAAAAAATTCCTAGGGCTAAGCTCCTAGCACGCCTTTGACAAAATACTCAGTTAGCTAAAGCAATATGTTGAAAGTCAATTTTGAGATGCGCCAAAGAAAATAATAGATCGAGCTTTTACTAGTGTAGTAGCTGTATGTTATTTGTTATATTGCGCCGTCGTATTTTTTATCATAAAATATTGGTGAAAGACAGGGTTTAATTACCCAAGTTTGAGGTTTCCGACAATAAAGTGGTCGAGTGGTTGGTGTTGGTGAACAGTGTGAACCACCGTGCAAATTTATTTCACATAGGAAGTCTAAATACGTAGATTTTCTTGGACACTAATTTTGCGGTAATCGTTGTATATATGTCTTTAATTTCAGGAAGAAGTGGAGCAGGAAAAGAAGTTTGTAAGTGAAATAATCCCACAATTTCTGAGAAAACATACAGACCCGTAGTAAACCCCGCTTCACTTCAGATGATCTCAACTGAGGGGCTGAGTTGAGGTGTTCAAGATAAACTGACTAGCGGTCACTCTCACATGCTTAAGAATGCGACCTGATCTGAAGGGTTAGTGTCAGGCATGTGCCGCGATGAATTCACCTGAAATCCGTAAGAGCAGCCTCGATTTTGAGATGAATTGACCAAAATAGTGTGCAAGGGATGAGACGCAGAGATCCGGTAAGTTGCTCGAAAGTAACTTACGGGACATACTTGGCGTACTGTTGCAGTACAGGAACGCGCAAAACTGCACAATACCGGTGCCTAAAAAGGAAAGGATCAATGAACAGCTGATTTCGGCAAAAAACAGAAAAATAGAATTTTTCCTTTTTGCAGAGTTTGCTTGGGTTTTTTCTACAAAAGCTACTCAGAGCGACAATCTCTTAATTTATTTCCATTCGATTTTGTCCCTACTTCCTCAATTTTTAATGAAATTTTGGTTAAAAAAAACGCAGTTTTGTTTTGTACATTCATTTGGTTTGTGGATTCCTTGATAGCGGCCGTAATCGATTTTCTTCGGTAGTGGCCGCTATCAAAGATTGGTCAGTGATGCGCAAAAATTCGCCACTGTCCGGCGCCGAACCACGGTCGTGCGGGCTGAATAGCAGTCACATACCTGTTTGACCAAACCTGGACTTGAAGTGTAGGTGCTTCCTCTTTGATAGCGCGCAAGATTTTTATGCCTGAAAAGCGTTCCGCATCTAGATCAATAACTCGCGGGATGCTAGACCGAGGCGCCATACGATCAACTCAGGTCCGTCTCATGGCAGGTCCCCTGAAGGGGGGTTTACTACGGGCCATAGAGATTTCTAGTGTCAAATGGCGGTACTCTCGTCTGGGAAGACGGCATCAGTAACAATGCTGATGGCCTGGATGCCGTGGTTAAACCTGCTGCGAACATGATCGTTGTAAGATAAGATGCAATTTTTGGGATTCAAACGGTTCAGATTAACTTTCCTATAGCTCGATCTAAACACGCACAACATAAGCAAAACGTACTTCTCCTACTTCAACAGCAACGCGATTCCGAGAGTACGACAAAGTCCACTGAATTGCAAGACTGTCGAATGTTTGAGTAATACTGGTAAAACGGTGATGAATGTTGGAATAAAAGACAATCACCGCCCACCGACACTTTATTCTAGCACATTCACTACAAGGCCTATTTTCCGATTACCGCCGTTTCGGACCAGAGCCTTATTTGCTTTGTCAAACTTACGACCCACCCGTGGGTCGTAAAGTCCGAAATTGTACCCTATTTTCAGGTGTATGAGCCGTACCCTTTTTGCTCTAAACGTGAGCAGACCCAGGCGTTCCGCCGCGCATATGTCTCGCGAAGCGGTCGCCTTATCGCATACTGCTCTCACTTAACGCGCTCCATGATGACAGTCAGTTTTTTGGCGTGTTCGCCTTTAGAGCAGGGTCAAGCGTGTTCATGCGATCCTGGATCCTCACTTACGACCCCCCCCCTTAAAGGTATCCATCCGTACGACCCCTCCCCCTTCCCCCCCCCCTTCCCCCTCTTCCCCCTCTTCCCATCTATCCCCCTTACTTCCCCTGCCCACATTTCTCGCGGTAACCTGCATAAACGAATGTCAATATCAAAAAACACCTGCGTGATAACTTCAGTAAGGTTTCAGAAGCAGAATTTCTAGGCCAATGGGTGCGCTTAGCATCTGCAGCACACAGACACACCTTCAGTAATGTTCGAGATTCTGCAAGATTTTTTTCTGAATTTTCAGGCATACTTCAGGCCAGCAAATTTGATTCCCGTATGCGACACAAATTTTTACACGGAGAACAAAATGACATTCTTGATCTACGAAAAATGTTTTCGACTAAGAAGCTCACTTTCTACCTCTTCCACAGTTTTTCCTGCGGAAAAAACCGCTTCAGAGCCGTCCAGAACGACGTCAAAAACGTGCATGAGCACGGTAGTTTGAAAATTCGTAACTAAGGCCTGGAAAAGATTGAGAGGCTGCAAAGAATAAATTCTGTAGCATAGTGCCCAGACTATTCATAGAGAAAGTTTCAGCCCTTGAGGAGCAGTGAGCTCGAAAAAATTTAGATGCGACTCTCGCAAATTTAGATGCGATCCTAGAAAGCGAAAACTGGGATTTTTAAGCTTACAATTTTGTAACTTACGAGAGAAGTTATAAAACAGCCTGCAATTTTTATGTGGGAAAGTAGGAGGTTGGCCTCATATTACAGCAGAATTGCAGCCAACAAACTTCGATAGCTCCGAAGAAATTTAGATGCGACCCAGATACGACCCCCCTTTCCTGATTTTTTGCTACCATACATAAAATTACAAGAAAATCCACAGTTGACAAAATAACACCAAATTTTGCACTGATGTAGCGGAGCATCTTCAAAGTACAGATAAATCATATGGGCCCGTGAAAAACATTACAAAAAGATTTGAAATTTATGATGGTCACAGCTGGTAAAGATATTCGCTTTTGTCGAGTGTGTGAGACTTCAGGAGGGCTTCAGAAGCAAGATTTCTGGGGCAATCGGTACATTCAGCATTTTTATCAAATTATACATCCTTCAAAAGTGTTTTGAGCTCTTGTAAATGTTTTTTTTTGAGAATTTCTACAGATTTTTTACCTTTTTTATTCTGATTTCCACTTTTTTTTATAGATTTATTGTAAAGAACATAACTAATTATCTGCTTTTTGATTCTCTTTTAAGCTTAGGGTATTTAGCCTAACTACCTTCTCTTACGACCCCCCCCCCACCTCAGGTACCCTCTTTACGACCCCCCGTTGCGACAGTCGCATCACAAGCTTGACCCTGCTTTAGAGTGAAAAGGGTGCGGCTTATACACCTGAAAATAGGGTTGTGTTTTTGAAAGAAATTCAATACATGTCTCCGAGAATTTCCCCGCAAAGGTTATTGAAGGCGCTGATTACCAAAATATGGTTTATTCCAGTTTTTGGCAGTCTACGTTAAGGTTACGGTACTCATTCTGTACGAACCCAACATCATGTTTTTCATGCAAAATTTTGTTTTGGGATTATTTCACGTGCTCATCACGATTATAGTGTCCACTTTGTTCGCTATTTTCCCACAGTGGGACTACGGTAGCAGTACGGTGGAAGTAAGAATTAAGAAACTGATGTAAGACGGCGGTATTAGAAGTTGAGACTGTCATTTTCGTAATCAGCATGCTAAAAAAACTTTTAAAGTAAGGTTTGAGCTTCCTGGGACGAACAGCGCGAAAAATCAATAAAATCAAAAAATCGATAATTTTTGATGGACTGACATCAGCCTCGTGCTCTCCCTGTCATGTGGACTTGAATTTTTAAAAACACATCACTCTGCGAATAATTTGAGCTAAAGTCTGTGCCTTACCTCTATCTACGGTATACCTACCATAACAATGCATTACAGTATCCCGAACCCGGACCACTGTGGCTGGAGCTTCGCCAAGGTGTCCCCATTCATGTGCCAAAACCCGTAGAAATCCATCTTATACTGACAAAGCTAGAGCTTCAGGAATCTTACGACCCACCGGTGGGTCGTATTGTCGTGAATGTGCTAGAACGGAATGTTTGCGAGGCAATTACATGACACTTTCTATGAGTATGGTTTGGGTTTAGTACGAGAACCGATGTGCTATCATGATGCTGAGAACATCAACAATGCAATGCTGGTGAATT